GCGAGGTGGAATCTCGAGAATCTTGTTTATCCGTTGGCTACCCTGGAACTGTAGCCTGGTATAAATCAACGTCTAACATTTGATTTAACTCGGATAGCCTGAGGCTGATACGGCTCAGCAAAATAACGCCACTTCTGACTCACAATGCCCCACCCACCCTGTGCAAAAGGGCGGTGGCCGTGAGGCGTTGCAGCACCACTGATGCTGTCGGCCCTTCCGTGTACAATGTACACTCCACTTTGAATTATTCAAATATGGATAAATTCAGTTGTCTGGCCCAATGTACTGCCTCACCCACCGATGTCACCAAGATTACCTGATGCGTAGAAATCTTAATAAAATGATTTTAAAGCTTGCAATTTAAGTAGCAGATAATGAAATGAGTAGAAAAATGAACAATGAACAATGACAAATTCTGATCGTGATCATTATTCCGCAACCTGTCAAGCCAGTATAAATCAGAACACGTGTGTGTGTGTATGTGATAGAGCTGGATATCAAACCAAGTGTCACAAGTAACCAGAGATTACCCCGAACACCCATCTGGATGAGTTCGCTGAGGGTAATTATGGGGTTATGGAGTAAAATACTAGAGAGAGCATTTAAAAGGACGAGCGCATCAGAACTGTGGTGTTGATGAATAGTGGAAAGCAGGTTTCAAGGGATTGCATGTATTTTCCAGCACTGTGCTCCATCAGAATTCATCAGAATATTACTGAATTCGACTGTTTCGGTACCCATAATAAACTTGCACACTCGAATATTAACAACTTTGTTTCACAATGAGGTCAGATTAACAAAACTGTAGCTGAAATTCCACCAGACTTGGAGTGGTTCTTGTCAATTCTGAGTTTCTTAGGGTTTATAAGATAACATACAGAGCAGTTCCGAACAGCGAGACCACACTTTAACCCTCTTCTCGCTGACAAACATCGTGAAAGGGAAACAAGCTCGTTTTTGTTATGCCATTCTGCTGATAAAACCAAAGAGACCGGTACAGTAAATGATTCATAACGGCCTAAGTTAAACCGTCATTCCCGTTAAGTAAGAATACGACGATATTTGGGCCTACTGGTTAATGAGACAGCTAACAGCAGGCTGGGGTATTTGGAGTATACTGATTCAATAGCGTGAAATAAAGTAATATCAACAGAAAATAAATTTTATTTCACTGAATGTGAGCCTTCCATTCGTGCAACCATAATGGTCCAAATCTGCGATTGCTGTCCACTTTATGATTGATATTTTTGATCATTGTGGAAACCCAGACTTGTATCCAATCCAGAATGCCATATGAAACTCACTTGACAATCGGTCTAGCACGCAACACTATCACCGTATCAGACATTGGTGCACCGATAGCCACATCCGGATAACTGTTCTCGTCCAAATCCAAGCCGTTCAGGCCTACAGCAAATCCAAGTCCCTCGAGTTTTTGCGTAGTTTGAATTAGTTCCGGGCAAATAATCTGTTTTTGGTTTTTCAAAAAATGACGAAGGGAAAAACAATTTTGTTCTTTGCGTTAGATAAAACTCAATAGGATTTACACGCAAGTGAGTAGGGTTCTTGGATAATTTTGATCCAAGTTTAGAAAAAGGTTTTTCACTCTATTCTCTTAAAAAGCTAAGACAGATGGAGTAAACTTCATCAAAAGCACTAAGCATTTCACGATCCGTTTACACTGTACGCCAAACTATCTAAAGGTTAAACATAAGGAACTAAGAGATTTTCAAAACGATCGGTCATTAATTTGCAGCTGCCTCCCAAATTCAATTTTTTCAGCATTGTTTTCTCCCAAAGTATAATGTTGTTCTAAAGTAACTATATTATTTGAAGCTTTATTTACATGAATGTTTCCTAATTATTCCCATGTACAACACCCTTCTGCGCTGAGATGCATTTACGAACAAGCCAAAAGGTTTAACTTTCTCATTTTACGGCCAAAATATGATTGCAGGTTACAAATCGGACGGGTGTTTCCGCTACTCATCAATGATTAGTAGGTATTCAGTGATTGACTTATCAAGTGTTGTGGGTTTGGAGAAAATCGCTCAGCTAATAGAATCTACCAGAATAGTCTACCAGGATAGCAGAGCGCGGACCGAAAAATTTGGCGTTTAAAGGGTCCAAGCTTCCGTGCAGTTCACTCGCCCGACACATTGGTTTGCAAAGAATGTGACAAGCCTAGGGACGCCTTTCGTGTCTTGATCCGCCAGAAAGGTAGTCGTCTATTACGGTTCGCTGAAGCGGCTGCTATTCGACGTTACAAGCCCGATTTGTGTGAACAGACCGAATTTGTGGCTAGCCTCGCGCTGCCCATGATGCTTCTTCTTGCTCTCAGGAAATTGTTCAATGGAACTGGTTGCATGTAAGAGAATCTAGTTTGAGAAGAGTAAAGCAAAGGTCCCCGTCTCGGTCAATGTAACAGGTCCCGAAGAAAGGCATGTTCAAATTTCTCAATTTTTTCGACGGCCGTACTCTCCCGGAACCCGTTGTTCGTTAGCGTGCGGAAAATAATTCAGCTCAACTAAATATTGAATTATACCATTGACTAGTTTCCTGTCACATTGAAGTAAGGTTATTTTATCTTTCTAGGCACTCTTTGAGCATAAATGACGAAATACTCCACGAAATGCTATGGTTCTACAGAGAAGTGCATGCGATTTCTACATACACACTGGGTGTCATAATCGGCAGAAATCCGACAGTTTTCAGACAAAAGCTTGGTAGACATCATTGGAAAGAACCAGTAATAGGGTGAAGGCAATCGGTATTGTCACCTAACTTTAAATCAAATAGTTTGTGATGGTCAAGACACTGCACTTAGATATGGCACTTATGTAACTAAGAAATGATGATTCGTTGATGATTTATTGCAGATTACAGAATGGCTTTAGATCTCATGGTGTAGTCTGTTAGATGAAAATGAAAACCTTGAGATAGTATGAGTTATCTTCCATGTTCTTCGATTCCAATATTGAAAGTATTTTATTCTATCCATCGATATAAGGTACTATTTATATTAATGTTTCTCTTACAAGAAGCGAAGTTTCAGAATGAAAACAGTGTGTGAAGATAAAACGTTCCATGGCTTGATAAAAGTTAGTACCATCCTTGACAAATGTATTTCACAATACGGTCCAAGTTTGCACTATTTCGATCAGGTAGTGATATTATTCAAGTGGCCAGCACTAGGCAGTTCTTATCTCAAAAATCAAAGCGAATCCTTAATGATTCAACCCATTCAGAGCTTTGTGCTGCCTTTCATCGGACATCACATGAATTCGCCTGGTCCGCGCGGGTAGTTCTGTTTGTGGTCCGTTGCTACACCATAGTGCTTCAGTACACGTGGGTTTACCGCACAGACGAAAAGGCGCCATATGTTTCAGTGAAAATTTACAAAGCCGCATCTTCAGCATACAACTTGTTTAATGTGCTGCCGATAGAAGAAAGCCGTTTTCAGGAATTGCATAAATAATCGCCACACAGTGGCAGTTGCTGACTCGAGTGTTGCCCCGTCTAGGTTCCATTCCAAAATAAGATCTGATTCGAACGCAAGTGATATGAATTGTGTTTGTCCACCACGTGACTCCTTCCCCCGCCCCGGGGGCAATTCTGAAGTTTAGGTTACCGCAGTCCGCTTTTGTTTATCTGCATGGAAAACCAATGATAAAAATATTCCTCTCTACCAGAATAATCCTAGTCAGTGTGAGAGCGTGCTACGCTGATGTAGCCTTCACACTTCGAATGGGGATTATTCAATTCTTGACTTACGTTATTCACACACTTGTTTTCACAATATCAACGGCAGAGAATGCGGAGATATGTTGTGGACTAAGTTCTTTTTACTTTCCGTGGTAAACGCGAAAACTGTTTGTTTTTCATATGGAAAAACGACCAGCTTCCTACTCGCCACAATCTGCATGAAAATTCCAAAAGTGTTTTAATGTTTCAGAGTGCTTCACTCAGTGTGTGTGAATACCAATAGTGATTGTTCGTCTATACTAGATTGTTAGAAATAATCATAGCCATTGCAACGTTGACGAAACTGTGTGAAAGCAACAAGAGCCAAGTGATGCAAACTTCGGTGTGTGGCAGTGTCGTCAAAGTAGTGGAAATGCATATATCCTACAGAAGATCGAAATCCAGTACCTCACGGGACAGAAGTAGCACTTTGTCTGACTGTCTTGAACATGTTCAATTACAACATAGATCAAGCCATTCTTTATATTCTTTTCTAACTGATATGCCACTGTTTCCACTGCAGGGATTAGAATCCAGAGAACAATGAAATTTTCAACCAAACCTGGATCGTTATTTTTATTCAGAATAAACTTAATGCGATTGCATCCAATACCTGTCTGTCATCATCGATCATCAACTGAAGAGTATTTGGTTTGTCACTCAGTGAGTCTCTTTCATAATTCATGGAAAATCGGAGGTTTGTAAAACCATGGTGAATGATTTTGCGTTTTGAGTTTGCTGAATTTAGAATCATCTCATTAACAAAATACTATCATGGAACTACCATGATTATTCTTTGGGACTGAACTGTTCGAAAACTACTCGTCAGATATTACTGCTAATTTCGTAGAGAAAAAGTGTTAGTGATTTGAACACAATGGAAGGTCGCTGACCCCCATCACACTTACTGGTCTATGGCGTTAGACTTTAGTAGAAAACTAGTGTTCGAGGGCTCGGTGTTTTTATTTACGCCGAGTGGCTAATGTGCTTGTTAATGTGATTGCACGCTTCGTACCAGTCAGCTATTTGAGCAGCAAAGTATTTGTCCGTCATTAAGACTGACATAAGGTGCAAGATTCACGTAGCAGCTCTGGCAGTATGAAACCAATAAGAATGGAGTGAGCCCTATGGAATAAACTATAAGTAAGGGGATAATCTAGAAATAAGACAATTATATCAAGGGAGCCGATGTGGATTTTCAGACATTAACGCATCCGCCCACCCCTTCTGAAAAGATTCAATGTGAAAAATACATCCGCATCCGAGAAAATTTTTATCTGTCCAAATCATCCGGAAAATTCATGGAAAACAGTTTTCTAAGAATTGGAAGANGTTTTCATCCCTTAGTAAACAGCTCACTAGTTCTTTGCGAGGCAAAATTCACCAACCCGTTCTCAACCCTCACCGAAAGAAAACAAAAAATAGATTAACGATGGCAAGAATCTTGTATGGAATAATCAATTGCATGAAAATATGAACTAATGTTCACTGAGGCGTGACTTTGTGTCAAACAAAAATAGGTCCGACTAAGTGTTATCGGATTGTCNGATTGTCCGTCTGCGATGCATCATACGACTAATTCCCGCTCATCCAATTTTGATTCTACATTCAGGTCCGGCTTTGTTGCCTCCTTACACAGCATGATACTTTACTGATCCGTTCCAAACTTTATTTGACAAGTTCTTTGTCCGTTTCATCTAAGTTCTCTGTTCTCAGTGGTAACTACATTCCAGCGTATACGTGTGAGCACATATAAGGTGTAATGTTCCACATCGAGAGGAGGCAACTCCAACTGAAAAAACCTCTGAAGCAATACGGTACAAATGCTTCCAAGTCAGGTCAAGTCCGCAGCGTGACTTCCACTTTGGATTCATCCGAAGGTGAGGGTGAAGGGTGGAACCTCACAGGTGAGAGAAAAGCAGTGCGCCTACGTTGACCACCCCCGCAGGTAGTATCAGATGACCGGCGCGGACTCCAAACATGATTCGATTTCCTTGACCATCTCCGACGCCTGAGCCAAGAAGCTGCGATCGTCCATGAAATCTGTGCGCATGCAGATAATGTGATTTATTCTGTCGTTCTGTTTTATCAACAATGTACAAATCATACTTGATATGGCACCGGAATAGAACGACTGAAATAACAATCCCGGTTGTATGGTCGCATTTAACGCTTATTCAAGCACACCGTGTGCCAGCGAAGCTTTTGGGCAGGTTACCACCTTGTATCGTCGATGTAGGCTTGTGTCTGTGAGCAAGTGTATTTTTGTGTGCGAATGGAATTGAGACGCGTTAGTTTTTTGATCATTGGACCCTCTTTGGCACAACTGGACTATCGCCAACGTGTACTGCGCAGTTACGGGGCTGGAATATGAACTCCAATGAGCACTTCCCTCTCTCTCTTGCGCGCGTTCGCGTGCGGTCTCCGTAAACTGGAGCAAAACTCGATGTAGCTCGCCTATTGGATTTGCACACAGACACGTGCAAGTACGCACAGACAGTGTAAAAATACTTTTCAAACCGGATGTTCGTAACATAGATGAATAAGCGGTCGAGCATAGCCAATGAATCTGATGGCCGGGTTAAGACCAGCACACTAAATCGTTTCGAGGTGC